GGTTAGGAGAGGACGCGGTTAGGAGAGGACGCGGTTAGGAGAGGACGCGGTTAGGAGAGGACGCGGTTAGGAGAGGACGCGGTTAGGAGAGGACGCGGTGAAGAGGTGCCCCTCCTCTGAGTGCATCCCTCCCATGCAGCGCCTTACTCCTCCACAAAGTTATAGTTCAGTCGACCGAACACCTTCTTTGACGGCAAAACGGAGATCTGATGTGGGAAAAAAAAAAAAAAAGTATTAGAAAAATTAGGTGACTACTCACAAAAGGAAGTGCTCCTCTGATGGTAACTTCTCCGGCAAGGAAGGATCCCCCACTGGGGAATACCCCCGATCGGCGACGTACCTTCTCCAGATATTCGCTAAACTTGTCTAGCAATTCATTTTTCAGCTGCTCGTAAAAAGTCACGAAGTCTGAAAATCTCTTCTTCAGCACCTTCTGGCTGTTCAGGGCTTTGAACTCGAGCACGTATTCCTGAGGGGCGGACAGGACGCAGTGAGTAGATTGATCGATGAGTTGAACCGACTGGACGGCACAGACGTGGTGAAGCACGCCTGCACACACCGCCACACATGTGCCGCCCTACGCTGCCGTATGCACACTTCCTCTCCATGTTCTAACTTACCGTGTAGCTGTAGAAGTGCCTCTTCACGTCGTTCGTCCGGATGATATTTATGATTAGGTTGTCCTTGAACTCGTACTCCGTGTGTCCCTCCATCGTGCACGTCGGGGGAGCGTTAAGTCGGTTGTTCTATATCGTACAGGGATTTTCTAGATCGTGTTGGGCTTTTCCAGATCCTACTCTGTTTTACTAGATCCTACTGGGCTTCTCCAGACCTACTCCGTTTTATTAGGTCCTAACGAGCCCGTTCCGTCTCGTGCAGCCCAGGGCCCCCTTTCTCCTTTTCTCTGCTGGGCGGGCCTCTCCCCTAACAGTCATATTAATGCGCTCAAAGGGACCACACCAATCTGGGCTCCACTGTGCCTGCACGTGTTCATGCAAATGGGGGAAGCTAAACTGTCCATTTGGAGACTCCTTTCCCCTTTGCGTTATGGAAGCGCGACGGAATAGCAATGAAGATTGTCTTGCTTGAGTGGTTGGAATCAACCGATGTGCTCCCCTTCCCCAATGGGAAGGCAGTTACACAGACCCGTACGTTTATGTTTCGAGACAACTGCGCGTTCCTCACCGCATGGACAAACACGAAAGCCACGTACAATCCTCGCTGCTGTCCTTAGAAAAAATGGGCAGCAATCAGTGGAGGAATGCAGAAGTGGCAGGTATGGAGCAGTCGGAGAAATGCAAAAGTTTGAGCAATGTAAAAGTAGGAAGAATGGAACAGTCGGAGGAACGGAGAAAACAGCCATAGAGCCATAAATCACATGTGCACCATTTGGGAAGACAAAAAAAGTCATGAACGCGGGGGGGAAGAAGGACATTCACGATCAAACAGGAAGAGCCCTCTTGGGAAGCACAACCGTGTGGTAGAACTCTCCCAAGAGGGTCGCATACAACTCATAATCACTCACGCAAAGAAGCTTGATGTAACTTCCCTCTTCCTCTCTATCAAGGTGGAATTATGAGAAAAAAAAAAAAAAAAAAAATATGAACATGGTCAGGCGATAGAGGGATCCCCAAACCAAATAAAAAATGTAGGAAAGAATGGCGAATGGAACAAAGTCAACACCAGCGGAAAAGTCACCCACATACAACATGCGTTGAGGGCTACATTCTCATGCACCTTGTCAAGGAAGCACGTTCTGATATTCATAGAATGAGATGCAAAAAGGAAAAAATATATATATAATATACTATTCGAGATGTTTGGGAATGATGACTGATGGGTGAGTTTGCCTTCATCAGAGGGCAGCGCGCCGATGCGTTTTAAATCATCGCGTAGGTCGCGCAAGCCGTTCGGATGCGTTCACGATACGATAAGGATACGTTCGTGAAGTGATGGGGATACTTTGTGATACTTTCCTCATGCGTTACTCTGTGGAATCCATTTGTTCTTTTTTTCTCTTTTTTTTCCATCGCGTGCTCTCTTTTAATTTCGCCAAAATATCTGCTTACAATCTTTATGTTTATCCCCCGGGGGAAGGAGTTTTTTCCTCTCCACGTTTAGCCCCCCCCTCTGTGTCGGTTCCTCGGGATTTTTTTTTTTTTTTTTTTAGTGGGGGGCTCGCATACGCGCATGTAAACACAGTTGAGTGCGATCCAGGTAGTGATCGCTTCAGCCTCGATCTTCCCCCCCGGGGTGATCTCCGTCATATGTGCCACGCGCGTTTGACCAAGAATTGGTAAGACTTGGCGGGAAATTGTCACGAATCTGCTACGAGGTAAACTACAAAGTTGTGACGAAGCTGCTATGAAGGTAACTGCAAAGTTGTGACGAAGCTGCTATGAAGATAACTGCAAAGTTGTCGCCACGCGCGCACACCTCCAAGCGGCGCAGCAGTGCGGGAACCCCACCCCCTCCACTTGCCACACAAACGGGCGATCATTTTTTCTTTCCACCTCCAAGATGATCGGAAGATGCCCCCAATTGGGTGGACAGCGCAGGGCCTACTTTACCGCCATAGTAAGCAACGGAGGGACGAATCGTCCTACTCACATGTGGACATCACTAGGGGGGGTGGACACATCCATACGTACATGTATGCATCTGCGTTGGGTAATTATTGTTTCATTTTATTTTACCTTCTTATTTTATTTTATCTTATTTTTGCTTTCTTTTTTTTTTTTTTTTCCCATCCAAGGACCGAAAGCTGCGCGAAGTGCCATACCTGTCTCGCTACGTCATCCTCGAGCAGTTTAAGAAGAAGCCGCGGTATATGGACGAATGCCCAGGTGGGTGAAGGCGATGCTCGGTTGGCGAGGCGGCTCAGTCCGAAAGGCTACTCTGGTGCCCCTACGCAGTTGTGCCGCCGCCGCACTATCTCGTTTGGCCTAATGGCCCCTCCACACAATACTCTTTTCCACGGCGGCCACCTGGCAGGCACCCCCAGGAGACCCTACGGATACAACTGCTTCGACCGAATCAGATTCAAGCCGACATTCAACCCGTATGTCAAATTGAACAAGGACAAGAAGTACCGACTGGACAATTGGGAGTCTAGGTACCGACCCGTGCCCGCAGTGGGAGGGGCAGAGAAGCGGAGGATCGGCTCGCCCTTCATCTCCATTGACCTCAGTGACATCAGTGACACAATAGGGAGCAGCGCCACCGTCACCGCCATTTTGTGATTCCCCCTGCGCTACCTGCTCCACGCCACCATCCCATTCCTTCTCATCCCCCTCGCAGAAACCCGGAGCGCTTCGACCCGCTCAAGTGCTACGTCCGAGGAAGCAGGAAGGCCTACGACGTCCCCTTCGCGATTCTGCCCTCCAAGGATGAGTTGGGAAACTTCCACCCCCCAGTGTGAGCAGCGAGAAGAGAAAAGAAAAGGGAAGCGAAGCGGAGAGAGAGACTAAGCAGCGTCAGACGAAGCAGTGTCAAACAAAGCACAGAACAACATAAGTAACCGAGTGGTGAACTCTGCTTTGTTGTATTGTCTTGTATTCGTTTTCTCCATTGTTTTTTTTTTTTTTTTCCTTCCCTCCCCGCAGACTCTCCGGGCGGTACAGGGCCGACATAGAGAAGCAGTACTACATGCACGGTAAGTGCTCAGGGGTCCCCTGAGGAGCTGCCCTGAAGGAGTGGCACGTTTATGTTCCTCCAGGATATGCCGTGATCCATTCGAAGGGGCTGGCAATCAGTACCGATCTCCACCCGATCGGTTCTACTTCCTCCCATTGCTTCTACTCCGTTCGATCGGTTCCACTTCCCTCCATTGGCAGACCTCCCCTGGGTGTGGCACAAGAACTTCTACACTGGCACGAGCCACTTCTGCGACAACATGGTCGTGGGGAAGAAGGAGTGGTACCGGCGGGAGCAACAGAAGGAGAGGATGAAAGAAGCCATGGGAAAAATAAATGACTTGGTCCTGGAGTACCGCCAGGTGAGGGTGGCTTAGTGGCTCTGCGGTTTAGTCGCCATGCGGTTTAGTCGCCATGCGGTTTAGTCGCCATGCGGTTTAGTCGCCATGCGGTTTAGTGGTCATGCGATTTATTGACCTGGTAGCTTCTCCACCGCGTAGCTTCACCGCTTCACCACTTCATCGCTTCACATCGCTGCTGCACCATTTGCAGGAATTTCGGGACAAGAAACGATACAACTTCCTCGAGCGAGTGGTAAACACCCTGGGGGAAGACATCGCACACAAGTACATCCGAAAGATTAAGCACGTCCACTTATGATGGGTTCGTCGGTACGAGGAGAGATGACGGATCGATTGGGGCAGCCAACGTCGGAACGGAAGATGTTGTCCTCTCCTACACCACCACGAAACGGCTATCCCATTTGGAGTTTTTTTTTTCACCATGGAAATGATTAAAAATAAGGAAAAAAAAGAGAAAAAAAAAAAAATTAAATAAAAGAACAAAAGAACTGTAATGGTATCCTGTCATAAATCAAAACCTCCTTTGGCAGGGGGAAGGACTCTCTTGACCCGTGGAAAGGCGTTACACACCTACACGCGGATGCTTCTTCGCATATGTGAAATGTGTTGGGAGAGCTTGACCTACGGTGGATCCTCACCAAAGAGGACTAATCCTTTCGATGATCCCACTATACCGTCTTTCCCCCGCACAGCGGGGCACTACTCCTTCGAGAAGCTGCCGATAACACACAGCTTTAGGCTTCTACACGGGGGAGAAACAAAACAGAGGTGAAAAAAGAATATGAGTGGAATGAGAACACATGGGATGCATAACTGGGACGAGCGCGTGGTCAGTGCTGCCTCGTTGCGGCGTCCCACTGTCCCCTTTCGTCGCGTTAGAGAAAGACTCACTTATTGTCTAGGTAGAGGTTAAACCCCTTCAGCGTCTTGTTCAGGCTCTTTATGTAGCTGCGCGGGGGGAAGAGAAATGGCGTTATAGTAATGGTCAGCGGAAGGGGGTCATCGTCGTCCCGTTGGCAAAGAAAGTGGTCATCCTCGCCTCAGCAATTGCAGTGGCGGTCGTTCTCCATCGGCTAGGTCCTACTCACCCCTTCGACTTAAACAAACTCTTGTAGTAATGCTTTATGATGAGGAAGAAAAAGAGACAGACAAACAGCATCAGGGGGATGTTGTTGATGGTGTCCAATACCTGCGGAGGGGGTGGAAGCAGCGAAACGGTGGTGCGGCGAGACCGTGGTGTAACGAAGCGGTGCCATGTTACCACTCCTGTGTGCATCCATACCGTCCTGTCCTCTCGGAACTGCCACGTGACGAACGCCAGCAGCGAGATGAGGGTGATCACCAGGCTTATGCGGACTGGGCAACGAAAAGGGAAAAAAAAGGGGAAGCGAAAAGGGAAAAAAAAGGGGGACGTGAAAAGGAATCCAATGGGGAAAAGAAAAGGAATCCAATGGGGAATCGAAAAAGAATCAAATGGAGGCAATCTTTCCAGTCAGTCGGGTGACCTTATCTGTTGAGGGAGCCCTCCCCGGGGGGAGACACTCATTTGTGCACAACTTCACGCAGTTGCGCGAAGGACTCCACCTCACCACGGAGGAAGAACTTACTCCGCGAGCGTGTCTCAATTTCCTTGTAATGCCTGTAACTGTCGACGGCTGATGTTTCGAACCGAAGCAAATCTGAAGAAAGGGCAGAAGGGGGGAAGGGAATAGCACACATGAACACACGAATATACACCCACACACAAACGCATATGTTTTAACTGACCCGACTGATAATACATTCGTGGAGAAGGTACTCACGAACATGGACCCTCAATGCATCCTCTGGAGGTCCCTCCGCCTACCTTCCTTCTGCGGCTGGTTAATGTTCACGTGGTACACTGGACAAAATGCATACGACATTGTGATTCTTCCTTTTTACGATGATGATGATAAGTGTGGGGGCGGGACAATGGAGCTTCAGCAGGGGACTACTCTCCCTACAGAGGCAGCAGGAAGGTACGCGGGGTGTTGTGGAGAGTATTGGTCGTCCCTGCAGCTGTCGTGCCGCTCCACCGCTGGGCCCAACCGCGCGTCAGATCCACCTCTCTCTGTAATTCCTTCGTTCGTGGGAGGGGGGTCCTCTCGCCGGGGCTCTCCCAAGCCGCGCCGTGTCCACGCAGGTGATTTCTTCCCTCAGCAGGTTGTCGCATGGGCACGCCGGAACGTGTATATGGCTTGAGCCATATGTGATTACATGAACACGCGTGTATGCCACCTGTATGCGACCTCTCTATGCGCCCTTCAACCGTCGAACCAGATGGTGGAGACGCACAGATGGGTGCAAGCCATAGTATAATGACCCATGACCCTGAGATCTATGGATTTTTCGCTTCCTCTTCCTCTTCCTTTTTCTTTTACTCAAGAGTTGCAACACCTGCCAACTGGGGAGTTTTTTTTTAATTTTAATTTTATGTTTTAGAGACAGAGTTTTCCTCTGTCATGCAAGCTGGAGTGCAGTGGTGCAATCATAGATCACTCTAATCGCAAAGTCCAGGGCTCAAGTCTCAAGTGATCCTCCTCCCAAAGTGCTGGGATTACAACATACAACTTAATTCTTGAA